ACCTTGCGATGAGAAACAACATTAGGCTAATGTGAACAACAGAAAACAGTAAACACAAAACACAAAATCAATTAAAGTGGAAGAACACTAGTCTAGTTTTGTGAATACGACATACCCGCTCAGAAACAAGGAATGCTGAATAGAAGCCCACGCCAAACTGGCCAATTAAATTGCTGTCAGCACCAGCATCCTTACTCTCCTGTCAAACAATATTCTTTTCTTCAGATAAGCAGGATGATAGTTTAAATTTGCTAAAGTATGCAGATAATAAAACGCTAGAATTGCCAAAATAGGCACACCTTCAATGCTTTCAAGAACTTCGCAGTTCCACTTTGTGCAATAGTACCAAGGCAATCAATAAGTTCCTGGCGGGTCATGCCGATCCCAGTATCCCTGGACGGAATATTAAAAGTCATATTTGCAAGAAATTAAATCGAGCCAAGACAGCACTCAAACTTTATAATACTTACGTAATTGTAATTATCCCATTATCTTTGTCTGTCTGAATACGTATATCAAGATCAACCGCTTCCTTCAGAAGATCTGGTTCCGTAACACTAAGGAACCGCAGCTTGTCCAAGGCATCGCTTGCATTGCTGTGGAGCAAAACAATTATTTTCTTAGAAGCAGCTTGTAGGCAGAATAAGAAACCATACCGACGGTTTCCAACTAGAGTAACTTAAAAAGTGAATACTGTACACAGACATAAGCAAACAGTACAAAACACACATAATGTAATAACAAGCACCAAAACAGTTTAACATGCTTTTTATTCACCAAGTTAATGTCAGGGTCATGATTAGCATTAGCCTCAGAGCCACTAGCCAAAGTTCAAACTGAATAAATATTTCAGTTAATCATTTTTAATTAGCAAAAAATCGTGAGTTAAAAAGCCAAATATAGTTACTATCCCCACTACCCAAGCACGGGCTAAAAATCAGCAAATCAGGAAAGTCACTTAAAATGTGTTTCAGCACGCCCTCCCCAACCAAAATTCATGAACTTTCCAGAAAAAAATCCAATTTTTAGGTGCATTATGTTTGCTTGAAATCTTATGAACGTGTTTCACTGCAGCCTGAGAACTAGAACCGGAATGTTTAACATATATAGCCTTCTAAAGAATGAACAGCAGACACTCCAAGGAAATATAAGTAATAAAAAATCAATGAGAAACGTGACCCAGTAAACCAATACATGCCTGACAAGTTCCCGGAGAAAAACTTCCTTATTGCTGTATAAACTGTTGACAATAAGGTCCATAAGACGGCTAACCTGTCAAAAAGAACAAGAAAAAAAAAAAAGAAATTACGCATCATAACCTCATTTGCCCAATTTCGATTGATAGGTAGAGAAACTCCGGATTTAAGTTAAAAAAATAAAAATAAAAAATTTGGTTTACCTCGGCTTGGTACTCATATTTTTCAGCTGGAAGGTCTGATGCATCATGTGCTGCAGAAGTCGACTCAAGCCGGCAACCCAAAACAGGCACATTCCTTACGTTAAACGGCTTAATAGTAGCATTACTGCTGCCAGTAGCTAACACTGAGTACCATTTCTTTTCAGTATTACCCTCATCAGCCTGCTCAATATCAAAGTATTAGAACAGATTATAAATACAGAAACAGAAACGCAAAACAGAACCATATCATATACCGATTGATGGAAAGGATTGGAAGAAGAAAGGGGGACGGCGGAATTGCGGTAGCGTACTCCACCGTTCCGCAGGATAGCGGAGACTGAACGCCTTGAGACCACCCTGTGCATTATTCAAAGTCTTATTGATGAATTGCTTGTCTGCAAATGCAAAAGCAATTGAGAGACTGAGAGGCTAACGAGAGATTGGTGCGTTCAGAGTTTCAGTAGGGTTTTAGAAAAAGGGGTTTAACGAAGGTTCTGGATGTCAGATTATTACGCGCCAGAGAGTGAAACTGTTAGGGTTCGTTTTGCCATTTCGGTATATCGTTGAAACAAGGCGGCGGAGAACCTTCTCATTTTTCCTATTTGAAATTAGGGTTCGACTCCCTAACCTTTCAATTGGTGTAATTTGAATCCTCAATTTTCAAAAGCATAATCTATTTATATATATGAATTTGATCTTAATGCAATGAAAAGCGTCAATGTGGATGTTAAAATTTCACGAGAATTTTACGTAGATTAAAGCTAGAGGAAAAAATTAATGTACTAATTAACATCCAACTTCAAGCCACGTGCGATTTTACTATCCACATTGATGGTTTATATCCTACGAAAATCCAGATTCATAACTTTAAATAGGTTGAGGACCTAAAAATTGAAGGACCAAAGCAATATTGCATGAAAAGTTGGAGATCCCAATCCTAATTTTTTGATTTGCATTTACTAGTTATTTATTTTTAATATTCACTACACTAAATTTCTCCTGATACATATTTATTTAATACTAGACTATTAGTTATTTGTTAAATTATTTAGAAATTTTTAATATTCTATTAAATGAGATTAATAAATTGATTTTTTTTTTAAGCTTAACAATTTGATTTAATTTTAAGTTTTTTTTAAACTTAAATTTTTGGGTTATTGTACGGTTCAATATTCTAAGGTTCAGTATTCTAAAAATTGAAGCCTAGGCGACATCACCTAGGTGTGAAGTGGGAGCAAAACGCCTCGTTTCACTCATTTTTGCTTTTTTTTTTCTTTTGCGCCTAGAGTGCGCTTTTTTTTTACGCTTTTTTACACCTTTCAACGTTTTTTTACGCTTTTTCCTTAATTATTACATAATTTTTAAATTGATTTAAAATTTTAAAATAAAATTAAAATAAGAAAAACACTTTTTAACACCTAGGCCGAAACTTGGTCTCCACGTTTCGTCATGGTTTACGATTTTTAGAACGCTAGTATGGTTAAATTCATAAAGGGAAACTAAGTTATTTAAAAACTAGACCCTAAGCTTCCTTTTGTAAAAATCGGTCCTTCAAATTTTCGTTTTTGTTGCAAGTAAGTCCTCAATATACAGCGACCATATTTGTTAAAAAGTCAAAAAAAAAAAAAAAAAAAAAAAANAATATAACACTCAAATTCAAAATTTTCTTTATTTTTTAACCATACATTCTTCATCAAATCACTACTTCAAAATGCATTTTTTTACAAAAAAAAAAAAAAAAAAAAAAAAGCTAAAGAAACCAACATATCCGTATCTCAAAACTAAAGTACAAAAAATCAAAATTTCCAAAGAAAAGAAAAGAAAATTATGCCTCCGCGAATTTATAAATAGTAAAACTTTATTTTCGACCACATATTTTAATTCAGCCTAGGCGTTAAAAAGTTTTTTTTTCCTTAAATTTTGGGTTATTGTATGGTTCGGTATTCTAAAAATTGGAGTCTAGGCAACGTCGTCTAGGTGTGAAGTGGGAGCAAAACGCTTCGTTTCACTCATGTTTGAGCTTCTTTTTTTTTTTTTGCGCCTAGAGAGTGTTTTTTTTTTTTACGCTTTTTTACACCTTTCAAAGTTTTTTCCTTTAATTATTACATAATTTTGAAATTGATTTAAAATTTAAAATAAAATTAAAATGAGAAAAACACTTTATAACGCCTAGGCTGAAACTTGGTCTCCAAGTCTCGTTATGGTTTACGTTTTTTAGAACACGGGTATGATTAAATTCATAAGAGAAACTGAGTTATTTAAAAACTAGACCCTAAGCTTCCTTTTGTAAAAATTGGTCCTTCAAATTTTCGCTTTTGTTGCAAGTAAGTCCTCAGTATACCGCGACCATATTTGTTAAAAAGTAAAAAATAAAAATAAATTGCTAAAGAAACCAACATATCCGTATCTCAAACTAAAGTAAAAAAAAAAAAATCAAAATTTCCAAAGAAAAGAAAAGAAAATTATGCCTCCACGAATTTATAAATAGTAAAACTTTATTTTCGACTACACATTTCAATGGACTTACTAGTATTGTTCCCTCCATCCTATAAAGGTAGTCACATTTTCATTTTTCATCTGTCCCAAATTATAATCATGTATCTTAATTAAAAGTGTAATTAATATATTAGTTTCATAATATACCCCTATTTATTGTGCTTTGTTACCACAAATATAATTTAATTACTTTAAATATTGATTGCATTAATGTAGGGGTATATTAGAAAAAAAAATAGTACAATTTATTATATATTAATTAAATTTTCTTAATCTGCATATATGTATATATATATAGGATGGAGGGAATATCAACTTATTACCACTCAATTCTATCCATTTATAAATTAAGGCCCTGTTTGTTTCTGATTCTCAAATCAATTCTCATTTTCAACCACACATTCTTCAATAAAATAATATTTTCCATCACATCAATACTTTTTTCTTCTTTTTCAACCACACATTTTCCATCATATCACTATTCAAAATCAATTCTTCCCCCAAAAATCCCTACCAAACAGGCTCTAAACATTTTAAATTCTTTATCTTCTTCACTCATCCCCCACTCTTGACAAACTATAGTAACCATCCACTTCTGATAAGAAATAATTTTATTAGTATATAAAATAAGTGTGAGGTATAGCTACTAAATCTCCTTAATTAATATATAATATTGTGAGCTCCCTTCGAGTATACTCGTTAGTCACACGATCCCGTGTAAATTTGTCAGGTAAATGATACGTGTACAATAGTAGTTGGGTATTGTTCTTGACGAACTCATTCTGTACAAGTGGGAGATGTTAAAACGTAAGTAGTGAGTTGCCCGGTGATCAAGCTTAATCCACAAGCCTATAGGATGGGTTGAAGGGAGTAAAAAATTTGAAGATATTATCAGTGTACATATATATATAGAAAATACATTGGCACAAATCAGTTCTTCAGAAGGTAAACAAAGAGGAGAAACTTGATCACAAAGTCCATTGACAGAGAACTTTTTCATTCAGATGATCTGCACTTCGGTCCACATTACATCTTTTATTCTCTTAAAACATTTTTTACATCGGAAAAAGTAAAGATGATTAAGAAAACCCGAATACATGAACTTCTACAGATGAAGAGAAGTATCAACATCAAAATTATTAGGCTCCCTTGTCTCAGCAGAATGTAATGAACGACTCTCGGTGGCTTGGAAATCTTCGTTCTTGCCGAGTCCAAGATGGAGGGGATGTTGGACGGGCACTTCTTTCTGAGGGAAGGAAAACTTAGGTGGCCGATGACAAGTCTCGGCTGAAGTCACAGTCCATTTGGGCTCGGACAAGAGTTTTACAACTTCTCTCTTCTCCCTTAACTTTTCCAACTGCCTAAATCTTTCTTGCAGAAGTGCAATTGATGAACCTGCAACACTTGGATCATTATTTTGGCTTCCCATGAAAAAAAGAGAGAGAGATCTTGTGATCACAAGTTCAATGGTGAGTAAATATTATTGGACTATGGAAGTTTCAAGGGGATTTGTATGAAGATGTATAGAGAAGAATGGACTGATGTGGACCGAAATCCAATAGGAAAATGTCGGTAAAGAAGCCGTATTCCAGAGCACGCCTGGCAAAATACTAGGCAGAAAAGGTCAAATTGAAATGGAGATAGCAGTTGGATTATATGCGTTGAAAGTATTCAAGGGGATACAAGATTAGGTGGTAAATTTCATCCGCTGTTATTGAACTTTTCGTTTGTCTCGATTGTGTTATTGCACTTCGGTTTAGTATCAAATTTGATTGCTCTATCACATTCTATCATTCTCAAACCGATGAAAACTGCTTATTAAGCAATTATATTGTAATTGATCTTCCATATAATCCTTGTGGCACCTTAAAAACAAAATTGGTAAAACGCGAGTTAAGGAAAATCCTTAGGTTCAATCTAACTTTCAACAATTTTGGAAATCACACGTGACAGAGTGGTGAAACTTTTAACTAATTTGAAGCTCAATTACCCAGTTGAAACTAAAGTGAAGTTATGTGACCAAAATTAGACAAATTAAAGTTTGGCGAGTCAACTGAAATTTTTCTACAAGTTCGATGACTGCAGGTTAAATTTACCCCGAGGTGGCAAGGTTAGGTGATAATGCACTGCCTTGTTTTTAGCAGTCGTTTGGACCTCGTACGTAATACCTATTTTTGGTGTGTAATAAAGGGTTTCTCATTTCTTTAATCTCCTTTTCAACTACTTTCACGCTTCTAATAATCTTTTTCATGTTACTTCTTCTTGGGGTTTAGTTGAATGACCCATTATTGATCTTTTTCGACGGGTTGTTGTTGTTCTTTTCCCTCGTAGAAACTAACAAGATGACAATAGATTACACTAACATCGCGTTTCAAATGTCATCTTGCTATTTGCTATTTTCTAACACTAGCCAAAGTGGTGAATCTCAATTCCCACAATATCCAAACTTTCGAGCAGCTAGCTTCAGTCAGACCAACAATTTTTCAACCATCGAAAACATGTTATCAAACTCCGCCTCATTCACCAAATCAGAAATCATCAGGTCCATAAACTCAAATTCATTCTTCATTCAAGGTAACTCGAGCATTTCCTTGAAAGCACATAGTTAACTGATATCATTAACTTCTTAAAATATACAATACCATCCCTGTAGAACAAAAGAACCAAGCTAAAATAATACCCAGTAAAGGTTTGGACCAACGGAAGGTTCTCCAAAGAAGAACCACACGACAATTTACAAATTCAAGACACGGAGGAAACCATATGATCTTTCCTACTAACTGTTTTCTAGAAGAGAAATTAACACAAAAATTAGGAGTACATACGGGGCAAATCTCCATCAAGGCTCCAGCTTCAAAGAAACAACTCGTGACTGCCTGTTACATTTTGCAGCTTTGACAAATACTACCGAAAGACAACGTGGGGCCCACCATGGCCGACGAACCTTTTGTTCCCCTTTCAAGCAAGCCACTAGTGAATAACTCAAAATCAGAAACAACCAAAAAAAAAAATAAGCCTGTCTAAGTGCATCACGCTGCATAAAAAATCCAAACCATATACTTTAATGTAGAGAAATAACATGGATAATGACAAGATAATATTAACGATTCTCAAACATTGCTAGTACAATGATAAGAATAGTGCTTCTTTCATTCCAGATTGAATGACTTTGATTCCTTTAATCCTTTCAGGTTATGTCCTTCAACCAGAAGAGAAGACACTTCTATAGACGCTTTCTAGACTCTCTCCAACCCACCACCTTGTCACTCTCTCTGTTCCTCCTTAACACAAAGCCATAGGACCTAAGAACACCGCCTCAATCCTCTCAGACCAACGCGAACATAGCCCATCTTTCAATCTCCACTTGTTCCTCTCCTTAATAAGACCTCTGGTATTTTATGCCATTTTGAAGAAATATCTTCATTAGATCTTCAAACCATTTCCAAAAAAAAAACCTCTATCGCGGCCACTCTTTTTTCTTATTTTCTTCACTTTATTATTCTTGCAGTATTGGATTTTCAAATTGATGACTTGATTGTGGTCTTGAAGTGGACAACAGTGGCGGGGATTTCTTTGTTTGGGTTAATTTTGAATGGTTTTCCTTCGGCGGATCTAGTGGCGGTCAGAGAACCTGGGCATTGAAAAATGGTACTGGTGGCTTTTATTTTTTGTTTTTCATGAGGAAGGGTGGTTAGATGTTGTTTTCGCGAAGTAGTGGAGTATTTTGGGAATCAAGTGGTGTTACAGGTGCTCCTCTTTTTCATGTATAATGATATTTTAGATTTTATACAGATAAATGGAATGGCGATGATAGTATTTTAGACTGGGGATTGATGGTGGTGAGAGGTTTTCCAAATTTACAAATTGGCAGTTTGGATTTGAAAGCAAAAGGTGCTATGAAAATGTTTTTTTACTGAATGGAGCAATCATGACCTTTACTTAGTGTTTCAGAATTCTACCAGAGCAGCAACGTTTGTCTGAGGGTTGGGCAGATGCAAGTCTTTGGATTGGGAAGTAGAGGTGGTCCACAAGTGATGGAGTTATCAACTGGAGATGCAGAAGGTGAGCCAGGTTTACAGAGAGAAAGTTTGACCTACTTGGCACGAGTAAAGCTGAAATACACTGCAGTCAAAAATTTTTATCTAAAATATCATGCCACTTAAACTAGAACATTCAAATCCAAGTGGAGGAAGTAATAATGATGCTGATTAAGAGGATAATAGATGACAATAGTTAACAACAATCTCACATGAAAAATGAACAGCAAGTTAACATCAGAAGGTTATCCAGTAACATCAGATATTGAACATATTGGAACATGAGAATGAAACTCCAGCAGATACTTACCCTAGACAAGAATGCCACAAAAACTAGCAACTTCCTTTGAAAATAAACCTGTTTGGAGCACATATAGTAGCAGGCTAGTAGCAGTAGAACATATGCATATTACTAAATTTAAATCATGAATGGCGTAAACAAAGATACAAACTCTGATGGGAGCTCGTGGCTATAAGAATAGGAATCTAGAAAAAAATTCACATATAAAATGTCGAAGACATTTTAAATGTGAGTTGTGTATTTTTCTTCAACATTTTATAGGTGTGTTATGTATTTTATTTTTACTTTTATTTTTAACAAGAGTTGGGTATGTTTTATGGTTGTTTTATCATTTGAAGTTTTCCTAAAATAAACAAGGATTGAAACAAGTAAACTGTTTTATGATTGTTTTATCATCCAAGTACTATGCATGTCAATACGTATTGTTCGCCACAGAAAGTTATAAAGAAATATAAACTAAACTGTTCATATTCATTTGAATGATTTATGTTTATGACATAATCATTCATAATAAGGCAAAGTGTTAGAACTTCATCACCAAAAAATCCAATAATATGAGTTGTGAAATTGAAGGTTTTTTTTATCATGGGAACAATAATATGCAAATATTCGAATTTTCAGGTGACAACTATGTAGCAGGTGGTCGAACAAACTTGTGCAGAAGAAACATAATATTGCTTACTGCAGGACGAGGGAGATAGATACCTTTTATTCGTCTCAGCTCCTTGCACAAAATTATAAAATCTCCCCATTTCATGTGGCACTTCCTAATGAACCTGAGGATTTGTTCAGTTGTAAACATGGACATGCTTTCCAAATACTCTCCATTGACCCCATTTTCTTTGAAAATTTGGCGATAGCTCCCAAGATTTATCTCTTCCAACCACAAGCCAACATCCTGCAGAAGCACGAGAAATCAAAAGGTTGTTAATTGGACAAGTACTTCTTTTTCCTTTTTTATCTTCCAGAGGGGCAACAGATTGGGTGCCCCTGCTAACCAACTAAAACTCCTTTACGGTACCCAGATCATTTTCAAATCAAATCAAAAGAAGACTGAAACGAATCTCCTTAATTAGACAGGATTGACAATGTAGAAGATATGTATAAACCAAGTATCCTTAAGGCATAAATTATGACCTATCTGAGGTCCAACTAGAAGGCTTTTGATCGTTTGTCATCAATAAATGACATACAAGTAAGAGAGAGAGAGAGAGAGAGAATGTAATATTTGTGCTCCTTTTTCATAGGGGATTCTCATTTCTTTTCTTTGTCCCCTTTTTTCATGTGTTTGTGTGTCTATTGGATAGTTATAGGGGTGGGGAGAGGTCATCCTTGAAAATATTTTCCTAATACTTCCTTCTTTTCACTTTCCAATTTCCTCTCCACTTTCCTCGTATCTTCACAGCAAAGTCGACCAGGAATAACACAGTTTATAAGAGTTAAAATATTTTGTTCACAAATGGGCCCTTGTTAGAAGACATCCAGAATGACTAATCTCAAAATACAAGGAGAAAACACACTAAAACTATGCATGGAGATTACAGCAAAGTTACTTCTGCAACCAGTTTGCCCTAACAAGCAGTAGCCATCTCATAAGTCACGTGGCTAATCCAACTGAGAAAAATAACCACTGCTAGCATACATACATCGTGCAGAATCGTAAACCACCGTCATTCCACCAAGCTACATGTATACTCATATGACGTCAATAGCATTGACACCCCTGGGGCTAGGATAGTTTCCTCAAATATTCACGCATCTCTATCTGGAACCGATGAGAGGAAGCTGAAGTGATTGTTGAACAGGCCAGAACAACTGTTCCCTCCTGAAAGAAGACGATGGAGGCTCCAAGTAGTTCCATGATTAAAGAGCTCATCTTCATACAGGTTTCATCAAACAAAGTAAATTGCACATTACTAAGTAAACAATTCCAGCCTCTCACATTTCTAGATGCACGACGGTGCTCTCCCGTCAATGTAGTAACACGTCATTCTCGTTGTCCTTGCTGCGCGTCTAAAGTACACCAGTAGAAGCTTAAAGATAGTTGCAAACATTTCACACACAACATTCGCAACAAAGATAACCAATATTGAGATAATGACAATAACTAAATACAAATAGAGTACAATAACTTTCTTAACTATAAAACGATGGCCAATGCACAGTTTGGCGAAATAATTCAGACATAATATTTGATTGACCTGTTCTATGTATTCCAGTTCAAACCACATCCAACAGTAGTTGGAGTGAGAAACAAATTATACGCCAGAACTAATCGATTTTCTTATTAAAAAAGAAATGCCCCAAATAGACCAATTTTACCGGAATAGACCAATATAAACAAGATCCAAGAAGCATGAGATCAATAAAAATATGCAGCCCAAAAAGAAAAGAAAAATCACCTCAACAGTCCAAATGAAGAAATCAAGAGGCTCTGGTGGCCGTTGTTTATCTTTGCTCATCTCCCGGAATCAGGATTGAAGTTCGAAGACTTCTGACCGAGGAAAATAATTTAAAAATTAACAATCAGAAAAGCGAGTCTGCATCTGTTCAAATAATGAAATTTGAATGCACATGTATATATTTATAATTGGTGCTGATAATTGAATTATGAAATTACAAACCTTGTAAATGCAATGGGGTCCCGAGTCTACGAGTGGGTGGGCATGTGTGTGTGTGTGTGAGAGAGAGAGAGAGAGAGCGCGTGCTACTCGATCAATGGCGTCGGGTTTCACTGAGGAGTGAGGACCATTTGCCTTCTACTAAATTACACTTCTCACCTCACCAACCTCAACACACTATTCTTCAATACAAGGCGTGCCACCGTTTGGTTTCTTTCCCTGCTGTCTCTGTTTTCTTAAGGTAGGATAGGATAGATATCTATTTTATTTTTTTCTAATCACTTCTTATTCACACATAAATATTAATTCGCTCATTCATCCTTGTTTAGACATCTTGCAATACATGAACTTAAGTTTCCTCATTTAGGAGCCATATACACGTGCAACATAAACTCTAAAAAAATGCTGCCATTTTTTTCTTTTTTTGAGTTTAGTCACGTGCACGATTAATATTGAATTAATTTGAAATAAAAAAAATTTCATGAAAAATGGAATTCAAATTTTATTTTCCAACTTTTGCCTTGTTTGATGCCATAACTTTGCCATAAAATTGATTTTCCCAAAATGGTTCCCACGTGCACATTTTCTAGGAAATCATTGAATTGATTTTCCCACCATTTTGGTGGAAAATTGGATTTTTTTTCTGCAATTGGAATAAATTTTATAATCAATCGTAAAAAAAATGCANAAATCATTGAATTGATTTTCCCACCATTTTGGTGGAAAATTGGATTTTTTTTCTGCAATTGGAATAAATTTTATAATCAATCGTAAAAAAAATGCACTTTAATAAACAATTTCCATATAAAATAAAGTCGAACGAACACTAAACTTTGATTAAAAAATGATTTTCTAAGAATTTTTTTTTTTTCAATAGAAACAGAATTATAACCAATTGTGAAAAAAAAATTATCACTTTAATAGACAATTTCTATGTAAAATAAAGTCAAACGAACACAAAAAGATCCAAAAATTTAAAAAAAATTCAAGTGGAAAATTATATTAATCAAACACACTTCATTAACAATTCCCTGAAAAAACAAGTTCCAGACAATTATATTCTCTGAAATTCATTTTTTTCCACCCTTACAATCAAACGGACCGTAAAATTAGATGACTCGATTGATATTTCATTGAAAGTCCACCAGCAAATATTGAATTTAAGCTCTCATTTGATCCTCATTTTTTTCCTCTCATTTTCGATCATACACTTCTCAATAAAATAATATCAGAAGTAAATCCAAAATTTTTTCTTGCTTTTTAACCACATACTTCATTGATCTACTATTCCAAATTACATTGGGCTCTAACATGCTCTAATCCATCCATCCATAAATTTATGAATTATGTACATCACCCCTTAAAACAATATTTGTTATTAAAACAATCTTTTTGTGAAAGTTTCACGTGAGAACTGAAACCACTCAATTTGAATCGAGTATTGCGGCACAATTACTTCCAAGGCTCTTTCATGTAAACTTCGAAACGGCGAGCCATGGAGCCGGAGGATTCGGAATGGGAGCAGAGTACAGGTCTTCCAAAATTCGCGGCTACAACATCCCTATTCACTGTTACCAGTATTTTGAAAACATGGCAGCCACAATTACTTTCCAACTTGTATCAAAATCTTAAAATTCTAATTTTTATTCAAATATACTGAAAATCTGAATATCGAAGGCACGTGCTAAAACGTCGGATCGAACTCAAAGTGGCGACATTGAACGGCTCGTGAATCAAACTGGCATGAATTTGAGTCACTTGATGAATCATCTTAAGCTTGAGTCACAGGGTTTTTTACCTTTCGAAGAACTATTAAACAGGGAAAAAAAATTAATCGGGAAATAGATATGA